GGAGCTGGAGATTGGCCCTGCTGTGGCTGCAGCATCGCTGGGGCAATGACTGATGGCTCTGGAGGGTTGGGCAGAACAGCCAGACCTGGTGGTGCCCACTGACAACAAACACACCACACCCCATCTGCAGGGATCCTTAGTCTTTTGCACACATTCCCTAGACACAAACCATTAGCCTTTCCCACCTTCAGCCTATTCCAATTCAAACAAAAAAAAATTACCCTTGAACAAGAGGCAGGATATATTAGCATGTTTCACACTTATATTTTGAGCATCCCCTTTCTACCAAACTTATGAAGCTCTCTGAGCTGCTGATGCAAGGGAGATCTGTGGGTTATGCTTTACTAACATGGCAGGAAAAGCCTGCAGCTAGTACAAAAAAAGCAAAATGTGCTTTAGGATGAAAAGACACTGTTTAAAGCAAATTTTCCCATCAAATAAGAGTCTCTGTTTCTTAATAGCCCCATATCTAGTGCCTTCCACTGCATAAAATTCCTTACTCTTTTTTTTTTTTTTTTCTTCCTTGGAGAAAGGTAGTCTAGTAGCATTTTCCTGCTGCTCATCTCAGCAGTCACAGGATCTTGGTGTTGGGAAAGAACCTCTGGAGATAATCCAGTCCAACCCCCACTGCTCAATCAGGGTCAGCTACAGCAGGTTGCTCAGGGCTGCGTCTAGTTGATGTTTTTATATCTCCAGAGATGGAGACTCCCCAGCTTTTCTAGGCAACTTGCACCACTGTTAAATCACCCTTAAGTTTAAAAAAAGCTTTTCTAATGTTTAAATAGTTCCTGTCTTTCAGTTTGTGCCCATTGCCTCTTATACCCTTTGTGGGCACCACTGAGAAGATCTATCTTCTTTATTCCACTCCATCAGGAATACAGAGACACTAATTGGATAGTCTGAGTCTTCTGTTTGGTAGATTGAGCACCCTTAGCCTCTTCTCAGATGTTAAATGCCCCAAGCAAGTCCTTAATTACCTGTATGACCCTCTGCTGGACCCACCCCGAGCATGTCCATGCCTCTTGCCTCTGAGGCAAGTCCAGAACTGTGCTTGGTACTCCAGATGTGTCTCACCAGTGCTGAGTAGAGGGGAAGGATCACTTTCCCCTTGTCTACTGGTGCTGCTTTCCCTGATGCAGCCCAGGAGATTGCTGACTAACTTTGCCGCAAGTGTGCCTTTCTGTCTCATGTCCATCCTGCTGTTCACCACAAAACACACTTTTGACTTGTCTTCTGACAAGTCAACTCTCAGCCTGTGCTGATGCAGGGGAGCTTGTCCAGGCTCAAGACTTTTGCATCTGCCTTTGTCAAGCTTCATGAGTTTCCTGTTGGCACATTTCTCCAGGCTGTCTGACTTGCAGCATAACCATCAGATGCACCACAGTTTCGTATCATTTGCAAACTTCTTGAGGATACACTGTCCTATCATTCAGGTCATTAATGAAGATGTTAAATAGTATTTGTCTCAGTATCAATCCCAGTGACTGAACTCCAGCTGGACTTCATCCTACTGGTCACAAACCATCAGCAGCTCAGGAAATCAGCAGTTTTCAGTCCACCTCATTGTGTGCACTTACCTAGGTTGTACTTCATCAGCTTGTCAATGATGGTATCAGAAGAGACAGTTTCAACAGCCTTGTTAAAATCAGGATAAGCATCATCTGCTCCTCTAACCACATCTACTGAGCCAGTCATCTTATCATAGGAACTTATCCAGCTGGTCAAGTATTATTTGCCTTTCATAAATCCATGCTAACTACTCCCAATCACCCTCCCATTCTTAATATGCTTTATTTCCAGGGGAAATATTATTTTCAGAGGAATTTGCTCCTGGAATGGTTTTACACATCTCTCTGCTTAGAGAGCTGGCACAATGTCTCACTGCCTCAGGTCTTCTGCAGGACTGTTAACACTTACAGCATCACTAAGTCTTTGCTAGATCTAATCAATTCTGTTCTCCATTCTTCTCACTTAGAAGAATGGAAAGACCAAACCTTTTCCAGCCATGTCATGAGTTTCTACTGAGCTCAGAAGCAAAAAGAACTTGCAGCAGTCCTCACCAGAGAATAACTACATTTTCAGTTCTCATTTATTGGTGGACAAGGGGAAATCTGAATGCCTGCTACTTTGCAAAAAAAACCCTGAAAGACCTCACCATCTTTCACTCCTTGAAAAGGCAAGAAGGAAAGAGCAATAAGAAAAACCTAGATTGCCAAGTAGTTTAAGGGGACAAACCTTATCAGAAAATATCAATGCCAAGTAACAGAAACTTGGGAGGTAGAGCCAAGCAGTTCTACACTCAAACTTAGTCCCATTTCCTCACACTTTTAGGTCCAGTTCTACAAGATTTCACTTCTGTACACAACTATGTAGGTTGCCTTAGGAAAGGCAACAAAATGCCACCTTGAATACATAAATTAAGAACAGTACTATTTGTGCATTTTGGATTTTTTGTCAACCTCCAAATCAAAGTGACTTTTGATCTCACTTTTCATATACATATATATAAAATCATTCAATCTGAGCCTAAATTAATCCACCTATTTAGTAGTCTCAAAATGCTTTAGAGGACTGGGGAGTGCTGACTGATTTATAAGATGACCCAGGAGTTATGAAGAGGTCCTCTGATCTCTGTAGAATCCAAGAAACCTCTGAAAGTCCTGTCCAGGTTCGTCCCAGCTATCAGGCTGAAGTCTGGAGTCAGAAGATGTAAAGGAGTAGGTGAGCAAAGGCAGAAGAGGAAGAGCCACTTCAGTTTTTCTCCAAAGCTTTTACTCTGTTGCAGATGACAAGTGCCACATACAACTGTGAAATGTTTTTATAAAGGAATATAGACACTACCTTTACAACTGATGTGAACTTCTGTCATCAGTCTACACTGATTTTTTGAAACCAAGGCCCTCCACAGTAAACACCCAAACCATTCATCAGGAACACGTCTCTTAACTTTATTGTTAAGAGCAATATGAAAAATTTCTCTTCTCTATCTTGCTAAAGGGTACCTAACTCTTCAAGGTAGCAATCCTACAAGAAGAAGATCAAGATGAGTGTCTGACATATGTTACACAAGCAATGCTAGTTCATGAGCCAGTAAGACACCAGCTAATCTAAAGCATGTCATTACCTTCTTTCTCTGTGTGTCACAAAACCTGGCTCTAGGTTTTCCTCATCACTGCAGATCAAACCAGTATGAGAACCCAGCTTTCCTTATAAGCAGCCTTTGCATGAAGCTTCCTTCTTTGTAGCACTGTGAAAAATTTTTTTCAAGCATCTGGCACTTGATAGCTCTTAAAGAAATTTTCAATGCAATAACCAAGCAGCAAGGAGGAAAGGTGTTTGAAATTTTTTTCCTTCCTTAAAGAAGAATTCCCAGTTTTAAAAATCCAAACCTCAGATTTCTTCAGCAGCTTCAGTGGAACTACCCAGAACTTTTCCTCATTCTTGCTGTGATACATAGGTCTTCCTTCTGATATATAGGTCTTCCTTCTGATATATGTGAGGAGGAGATGCACACTACAGCTGTCAAACTAGCAACAAGTGAAGATCCCTTGTGTTATCTCCTCTCAAGACATCTACAGGTTCCTTCATTCTGTATATTTAAACACTCCCCATTTATGCTACTCTATAATTTGTTTGTGTATGTGTGCCTTTCTCTGTGTACCACAGGATGGCAGCAAATGTTAGCATATAAAGAAAACAGCTAGGCCAGAGACAAAATAAGAATATTACAGTTGTTTTATATATATTATTGTTACTTGAAACAAAAGGACTAGTTCCTGAATCCAAGTTCCCAATGCAAAAACACATGTTCTCAGGCACATAAACAGACTAATGCATGAATCGATACCATAGCAGGTCAAAGGCATTTAGAAAAATATTGTTTAAGGGAAAAAAAAATATATGGGATGCCATTAGAAAAACTAAGTCTGCAGTTGGCAGGATGTTTTGTTTGATCCAAAGTAAATAATAATCAGCAAAGTTGAGATGGAGTAAAAATTTGTGTGGAAGGACAGTAGGTTGCAATTGAGTAGGATTATATTGCTTAAATATGTTAATATTGAAAAGGCATCCATAAAAACTAAGCCAGAGGAAACAAATTCAAAAATCATCTCAAGAGACAAGTACTCTTCCTGCTTCAGGTACATTAAAAATTCATGCAGAATGTTTTACATAGGTTCATTTGATTCAGGATACCTGCCCCAGGCAAACATTTTTTAAAATTAAGTAAATTGTGTATATATCTTGCATGGAGTTCTCAAAAAATTTTATTAAGCCTTCTCAGAATGAGGAGCCCAAAAAGAAGACAAGGAAATTAGGACAATGTATGTAGAAAAGACACAAATAATCTTATAGTGACATTTTCAACTTTTCATGTGAGCTGTAGCCTTCAAAAGCAGATATTTGAAAGTCTATATCATTACTATAAAATTAAAGACTAAGAAACAATAAAGAAAACCCCAAAAGCCAATAAAAACATTTCTAGAATGAGACCTAGGGTAAGGTTTTATATCATTTTTGTAGAACAACCTTTAATTGAAAACTATGAAGTAGTTTGAGAGGAAGTTGTTTGTACAATTTCAAGTGATGAAAGGATTGATAAAGAGATGCTACCACTGAGCCAAGTTATTCTCACTAACCCTTCAAGAAGTTTAAGAAGTTTTATAGTAAGTTTAGATTAAATATCTATTTTAAATTTGTGCCACATTTTCTTCTGCTTCTAAATTTTTCTGCTTTCTTTCCTCCTTATTATTTTGCTTCTCTGTCTGATGCCAAACTAATCAATATATGCTTTGGTAGTTATAGGCGATGTCAACTCTTTGTAATGTACCTCTTCCCCAGAAGATAAATGAAACTTATTTGAAGAAGCCATAAACTGGAATGGCTCACTCTGATTTCAGGGCTCCAGCTAATCAAAATTGTGATCTTTGCACTGTGACAGCTAGACTTGACACTCCCTCCTGGCTGTCCCCTTAGAAAAGCATGATAATTTTTGTGATCACTGGATAAAATCAGTGGGGTATGTATGTGGCAGAATTGTTACTAGGGAATAAGGAAGGAATGTGAAAAGAAAAACTGGAAAAAAGGCTTATGCCTTTGTCTCAGGCACAGAGCAATTTGTTTGGCAGACATTTTGGCTGGCCAAAAGAAATTTATACTCATATGTTAACTTTCTAAATATTTTTTTTTTAAATCATATCTGATGCATGGGGGAAAGGGACTTCTGGATGTTACCTGCAGCTGTGCTTCTCTACTATATCTCCTTGTGTTATAGCCATGGCCTTTTCCCTCAAAAACTATGTGATAACAATTGTACTTGGCTGTTCTTTCATAATCTGCTGCCAACTCCTGGCTGTACAATGAGGCAATTAAAAGTGCACAGCTATTAGCCCAGTCTGTACAGCTTTTCCTCCCTTCAGGCCATTCTCATCCCACAAATACGAATAAGGTTCTGAAAAAATGAGCATTTCCTATAGTCTTTTGCAACCTTCTTGCTGTAAAAATAGATTGCAACCATGCTTATGTCACATTGTTGCTGAGCAACCTTTTTACCCTCCCCCCCACCCAATCTCCCTATTCTCTAATATCTTATTGGTCTTCACCATGATCAGTCTGCAAACTACGACTCACTAGTCACGAACAGCACTGCCTTCTAAGCCTGCAGGACACTCTGCCCTTCAGTGATTACACAGGCTTAAGGGAGATATGCCTTATAGAGTAACCAGACACAGGATGTTGACCTAGGGGGGGAAAAAGCTAATAGAAAACATGAGGGACAAGGAGAAAAGTCAAACTGGGAAAAAAAAAAAAAAAAAGAAAAAGGTCCTCTCTCTTGAGGAAGCTTACAAAAATAAAATAAAATTCAGATCTGTAATCCCTTCACCTTCTGTCAAGGTCAGCAAAGAGGAATCAATGAACTTATCATAGTCTCTCATTTTCCCCAATGAGCTCTGGACAAGGATCTTTCTTTAAAAAAATAAGGATTGTTAGGCAGAACACCAAGGGCAGCTGAGCTTTGGAAAAGCTTATTGTTTGAGAAGAAATGATCAGAAAATGAAGGCTGCAAGCACAGCACTCACACACAGAGTCATTTGTGTGAATAGGCTCAGTAGAGGAACGTCCAGCAAAGCAGTGACACCAGTGGGTAAAGCATAGATCCAGAGATCTATTTGGAGAGGAACTTAGGTGCTTTTAGAAGTCATAAGGTATTTGGTCTGGCTTTCAGCTGCTGCCCTAGAAGAGGGTGGGTGTTCTGTAAAACCCACATCTTAGCTGCCGTCTCTTTGCCAATGTCTGGGGTACCACAAGAAATCTAAAACCACATTACATCTATGCCTGTGCCTTAGTCCCTTAACCACTCCTCAATATCTGACTTCTATTCAAATACTTTAACCTTTATTGGGTTTAATGAATGATGGAGAAAAAACTATCCCTCCTGGAATGCAGATATCTGCATTTATATCCCTGCCAAAGGGTAATACACCTTGCATCCACGGTGTTCTTATTTTTATTGCATCATGATTCCACCTTCCCAGGCATTTCTGATCAGTGTGACAAAGAAAGCTTAGTAGGCACCAGTAGACCAGGACGTCTCCATTGACAGTTAGAAACCTAACATCTATTTAAAGTCATCTCTGAGTGTTAGGCTATGGAAATAAAACCAGATTCTGGGGCAAAAATTGCTTCCTACGTTCTTTGCAAAGGCTTAATCCATCTCAGTGGGCCTTGTGACTAACCTGTCATTCCATCTCTAGAACCTCACAACATCTCAGCTGACTTGAGGTCACAGCCAAGAGATTACCTGAGAGTGGTTAGGTTAGTCACCACCTCCCAAATCAGCAGCTGATGGGAGTGCTGCCAGTATCAATCAGATAAGCAGAGTTAACAGTGAGGTAAGTACTGAAATACCTTTACCTTTCCAGATAAAAGATTGCTCAAACTGCAAGAGAGAAGTCCTTTGCCTATTTAAGGTTTAGCTGTGGTTAGTTTTAGCAGAAACAGTGAAACACTGCAATAGTTCACATAAGCTTCTCCATGTAAAGGAATTATCCATGTAAACTACTTTTTTCCATGTATTGCTGATTCCTAGTTGATCCAGAAGGAAGTGGAACTACATGGAAACTGTAATAGTTACACTGAACACAGAAAATTTCAACAAATGGATGGATGATCATGATTCCAGATTGCTTTCTTCCAGACTACATCAGAAGCTTAATTTCAGTATTTTGCAGTGAAATAAAAACATATCAAAGTAAAATGATAGATTTTGTTCAACAGCATTAGCAAGGAATAACAATATTAACAATGATGAACCTTTTTCTCATACAATTAAGGAGCTAAAGATGACAGATACAATCAGCTACTCTAACCTCTTCAGCTATTCAATACACTAAGAAAAGCAAATTTAGACTTGCTTTCAGTGAGCAGTAAGGACATTATAAAAAATCTAAATATAGAATATAACCTTGGACAGAAGGATCACAAGAGGCCTCCCTTTAAAATTAACTAGAAATATGAAGAAAAACTCCACAACAGATTTCTACAATTAAAACAGATACCTCAGTTTAACTCTATTATTAAAATCAGATGGATTGAGGATGTCAGGAACTTGAATGTGAAATAAGTCTAGAACTTCTCCAAGTCAGAAGTACCCAGGGCATAAATTCCAAAATTGTATTTTCAGTAATTTTGAGGACTTGTGTTAAGAGGCATCAGATATACTGGATGAATAACTATTTGGAGGTAGATACTAAGAGTAGGATGAAAACTTACCAAGTAATGTAAAATAGGTTGAAATGGTAAAAATGAGATTTCCCTAACAGCAGAGATCAAGCAGGAAAAGGATAAATGAAAATAATAAAAAAATCAGGCCAAGATATGCTTTGCTATATAAGCAAGAGAATGGAGACGGAGTAAGAAAGGGCACATTGTAGTTGGCACAGTGCAAAAATGATCACAAATATGGTCTCAGGTGGATGCTTTGTCTGTGTTATCAGTAACATAGGGGAAAAGCCTTGCAAAAGTCAAAAGTCTAATGCACCTCAGAGGCAGGGCACATGTAACCAGGCCAGGTTAAAAAAAATGGGGAAAAAATTTGAAGAAATGCAGAAGGCAGCATACAGCAAGTGTGTCTCCAGTCATACTACAGTAAAATAAAGGTTTCAATTCCCAGGTTGTTTATATAGTTACAAAACAAAGCTAGAGTTTACAGTTGGAGACTTTCAGAGTGATTCAAACTATGTAAAAGAATAATAAAAAAAAAAAAAATTCCAGAGGCTGACTGATGATTTAAGCCAACTGAAGAGCCATTAAAATTACCTTCACAGGATCTGTAACTATTTTAGGAGACAGTGGAGTTTTTAAGTGTCTAAAGCATCTTGCTTTTTTTCTTCTAAAGGTTTATTTCCATGAAGTATCTTGTGTTAAATATATGCCTTTCCCCTGACTGTTTCAGATTAAATAATAAAGTGCATTTATTAAAGAGGGAAAAAACCCCTTGGGGTGGGCGGGGGGTGATATCTGAAGAGGCCTTTTTCCAACTGTCAACATTTTGAAGCTGAGTAATAACGCAGCCTTGGGGTTGCCATGGGAACATGTTTCATTTCCTAGGTGACAGCAATGGTATGTCGTCACCAGTGAACTGCACTGACTCTGGAAGTATGTCAAGTTCCCTTTAGACACAGGCATCCCGAGACTTCCTGCGCCTGCCACAGGCCAGCACCTTTAACCTGGCTCCCGCAGGACCCAACCACTCATCCTCCCCTGGGAAGAACAGCCTGCTTTGGCCAGGGCAGGAGTAGGGTTCAAGATATCCTCATCAGAAGACCCTAGTGAAGAGCAAACTCACCCATCCCCTTGGTATTCCCCTGCATTGCCTTACAAACCTACAGGCACAGCTTCATTCTTGAGCAGCTCCAATCTCCAACCCTTTGGCCCTGGATAAGTCCTACCAGAAAGGCTTCAAGCATCAAAAATCACTCAGACCTTTGTGTCACATTAGGAATGGACTCACTATTTAAATCAACTATTATGGAATCACCTGTACTAATAATCAACCCCTAAAAACAATGGTTTTTTTCAACTGGAACTTCAGGTTATATGACTGAGGACCCTTCTTTGCAGCACATATGTTCCCCAACACAACTTCAAGGCCACCAGCTGCACAGTATGACCAGCAGGATTCACTAGCCTGTGAACACTAGGGAGGGCAAATATAGAAAAACTTCTCCCTAACAGCTCCTCAGTGTTCATGCACTAATCCAAAATAAGCAACTCTGATTCTGTAATAATTATTCTGCTCTGGAAGTAGAGTGATTATTTTATTCTGGGATAATTACTCCATTCCCAAAGTGAAATAATAGTTATAGAATAAAATCATTTTCATTTTGGAATATTTCATCCACATGTGGGAGTTATTCTAGAACAGCTAAATTATACCCTCATAGTTAGAAGGGAACAGTCCTGCCAATCAATTTTCCTCATGCAGGCGAATCCTTAAATCATCGTGCTTTTGAAAGGAACAGTGCAGAAGTTGTCATTGCACAATTGGAGACCCCTACTGTTTAATTTCAAGAAGAACCTGCAATCACCTACATCTGGTTAATAGTTGCTCTAAATTATTTAGAGAGCAGTCGATAAAATAAATTACAAGTATATCAAGTGAGTTTCAGAGAATGCTACAAATATTATTACTGGTAGAAGAGCCTCATCACATGGTTTGAAAATAGTATCTATGTCACTGAATTCCTTATCCCCACTTACATGGTCAGGAATTGCTGCCAAAGATGGCCCTGGTCTACACTCAAAGAACCCTGCCTGTTGAGGTAAATGTGGGTAGAGGAATATGCCAGCACCTGTAGCAGCACTTGATTTCTGAAGGAACTGGGGGCATACCCCAGACCGTGCAGTTATTGTGCTATTTGTTCTAGGGTAACTACCTTAGATAGAAAATTGAATTTAAAACTGTTTACTTGAAAATACATTCAAAATATGCTTTGATTTTGACCACTGTTTTCTAATATATACACTTCTCAAGAAATTAAGAAAGGTGTTCAATGGGCATTAAGCTACGCAAAGAAGGCAGAAGGCTCAAAAGTTTAGGTTCCCACAGCAACAGTAATTCAGCAACATTCAAGATACAGAGTGAGCATAAATTAACAGTTATTGGAAATGCTGCATATGTGCAACGTGGCCATGTTAACATTGCTATGGGAACCTTAACTTTTGAATACATAAGCATACTACCAAAATAAAAATCATACAAAAGAAATCATTACAGATTTTGCTGGAAAATGCTGCACACAATTCCTCATCTGAAATCTGTTGATGCAGAGCATAAAGACACTAAACACTTAAAAATCCAAATAGGTGAGAAAATAATCTCTAAGAGCAGGAACACCAGAGCAATAACTTATCTCTGACACCAATGCTGCAACTTTATTTTAAATTTTAATTTATAGTCAAACAGAATGCAAAATCACTCCAAAATTACAACAGATGAAAAAACAGAAGTTCATGTACAACTATCACCCTTCCCCCTTTTTCTCACAGATTTTTCATAAATTAAATATTTTGGAAGAACAAAGTGGAAATTTGCTACTGGCTTTAGTCTTTTCCAGCAAATTTCAATTTAAGGAAAAAAGAAAATCAAGCTCTATTCTGATACACATTTATTTAGTAGCTGCAAGTCTAGATTGACTCCCTCACATAATTCTAACTAAACTCAGAGTTCATTTCAAAACAGCTTGATTTGGTGATTGAAGTTTTGGTAGTTTTAAAAGAACCTAGTGACAGTAGGCTGCTACCTCAGCCTTACTCTCTAGGAGACTGGATGTCCCTTCAGGGTAAAAAAAACAGCTCTACCACTACATCCAATTCTCTGTGATGCATCAGCTTGAGCAGGCCAAGCTTACTTTTCTAAGCTGTGAAGAAGGGATAAGGACACTCACGTCCCTTTCGATGCACAGGTCCAGCACATTAACTAAATAGTTTTTCTCTCCTGTTTAAAACAACAACAAAATCTTCAAAGCAGTCTTTTTGCAGTATTTGAACAGAATTCCAGCAGCATCTGAAATAATGGCTCTGCCAACTTTTCATCTAAGAAAAGAAAAACTAGAAGCTCCTTTCTGCCACTCCAGATTTTCAGTTCTCTGTGGCATATATGGTTAGTCCCATCCAAAATCCTGTTGAACAAGTTTATTCCCCAGAGTGTCTGCAAGATCACCAAATATTTTGATCCAAGAAACAAGACAAGTTTCAGAGTCCTGGAACTGCAGAGGCAAGATAAATAGAGTTCTCCAGTCCAAGTCAATGCAAAAGGCTTTCTTGTTGATATCCTGGCAAGCATGCCTGGAATTGTACTAACATCAGCAGGACTTCCTTGCTCATAGTAAAAGCAGGATATTGGCCTTGAAACAAGCCACACAGTTCAAAGAGACCTTAATCTAAATTATTTGAAGTGACTCTGATTTCTTGGCATTTATAGCATAGACTTAATGAAGATTACATGGGCCTACACTTGAACACGTTCTCTGCATACCATTAAGATATTGCTCAGCCATGAACTTGATTTTCTCTAGACTGATTTAGAAAAAAAAAGAAAACAAACTAACACTGGTTAGAATAATGCTTTTACAAAATCAGAGATGTTTCAGGTACTGACATCCCTTGCTAATAAATGTGAGATAGACAGAAAATCTTGCCCAGTATACTCATGACTGAATTTCTGATAACAAACAGACACTGTATTATTTGGTCAAAATTAAAGAGTTTATAGTCCTTGACATACACTGATTCGTTATGGTCTTCCTCCACCAGGCAGGGCACTGTATTTTCTAGACTGGAAGAAGCAAGACTTCTGTGAATGGAGCCTAAGGAACACAAAGTTTAGGTGGCAGAATTATGTTTTCAAACTGTACTTAAGATGTTGCATGAGGGAAGAAAGAAAGCATGGTTTAATTGAAGCCCCTGTCATTTCAAGACGTTTGCAGCTATCCTCCAACAAACTGCCAAGTGCTTTAATAACCACCTGCCTTCTGTGTTCTGTGCCTCTCATAAATGGTAACCTGCACATATTTCAACCTCCATACCACTATGTCCAGTACCCTGAAATCCCTCTTGTGCTGTAGCCAGGACCCTCGCCATCTCTGCTTGCTTTAGATCCAGCCCAGTCTCACAACATGAAGGACACTTTTGTCTGGATGGGCTCCACTAGTGTCTGAATCTCTGTTTCCTTCCTGAGACAGTTCCATTCCTAACTGCTCTTGCTATGTGGCTTCTCCAACAACCTCTGAAGCTCTACTGTTGAATCCTAATTCTTTTCCTTCAAAAATTGTAGCAGCAAGGATGTAGTTGCATGTTTTTTCGCTCAGTCCATGAAGTGAGAAAAAGACATCATGTTTTCTAGTGAAACTGGTAAGTTTTCTTTAAATTATTAAACATATCTTCTGTTCGTCAATAGATTTTAATGAGCTTTGTTAGGCATGTAGGTGGTAA